CAGTCACCATGGAAACCCGTGGCAGGGCTTCTGGGGGGGCGGGGTCAGGTGCGCGGCTGGCGCACGCGGAGCTTCCTGAAGCCCTTCCCCCCTTGACGTGCCCTGCCCCCCTTCCCGCCCCCACTCCGGCTTGCTCCCAAGCACCCAGAAACAGCAGCCTGAGGAGCCCACGCCCCCGCCCCGCTTCCGGCTCCCGGCATGACTGAGGGCTTGTTCCTCTGCAGAACCCCACCTTTCTCTCCAGGAAGACGCGGAGCAGTCTCACTTCCAAAAATTTATTTATTTATTTAATTCTATTAAAAAATTTTTTTTATTATTGAAGTATAGTCAGTTACACTGTGTCAATTTCTGGTGTACGGCATAATGTTTCAGTCATACATATACGTATATATTCGTTTTCATATTCTTTTTCATTGTAGGTTACTACAAGATACTGAATATAGTTCCCTGTACTATACAGAAGAAATTTGTCTTTTATCTATTTTATATATAGTAGTTAATATTTGTAAATCTTGAACTCCCAATTTATCCCTTCCCACCCTCTTTCCCCTGGTAACCATAAGTTTGTTGACTATATCTGTGAATCTATTTCTGTTTGTAGTTGAGTTCATTAGTGCAGGAGCACAATTCTTAATGCATACTGAAGTCTGAAGTCTGAAGCAAAGTAAAAGCAATCTTAATTATCTCTGAACATTTCTGAAACCAGGGGTAGAAAATTATGGAGTATGCAGATAATAAGCAATTGAAAAGCAATCAGCTTATTAAATGGACTTATCAGTAATCTGTTCTGTAGTATAACTAAAAACTTAAGAGTTTGAAAAACATTCTTTTTAGTAATCTCTTTATTTGTGTGTGTCTCTTGCATATGCACAACCCAATTTTAAACACTTCTCGGTTTATACACATCTTGAGGGCTCTTGTGCTTTATATTTTCCTTTAAAATTTTATAGTCTGAGTTATTTTATTTTATTTTTTTTGATTTTGAAACTACTTCATGGTGGTAAGATACATGTAATACTTACCATTTTCCCCAGGTTTAAGTTTACAGTTCAGCAGCATTTACGTATACATCACCACTATCCATCTCTATAACTTATTTTTAATCATAAAATACACATAACGTAAAATTTGCCATCTACCATTTTCAAGTGTACAGTTTAGAAATGTTAACTAATTCACATTGTTGTACAGCCAATCTCCAGAATTCTTTTCATCTTGCAAAACTGAAACTCTATGCTCATTTAAAAACTCCTCATTTTCTCTTCCTTCCAAAACCTAACAACCACCATTCTACTTAGTTTCCATAAATTTGCTTATTGTAGATAACTCACATAAGTGGAAGGATAAAGTATTTGTCTTTGTGTGTCTGGCTAATTTCACTTGGCATAATGCCCTCAAGATTCTTCCCTATTGTAGTATGTCTGAGAATTTCCTCCCTTGTTGAGGTGTATCTGGATGGGGCTTTTTCTGTAGACCTATGTCATTGGAAATGTCTCATAGAATAACTGTGTGCTTTCCTTTACTCACAGAACTGCATGTTAGATCTGTGGGAAAGAACTACAAGACAGAGATGCTAAATAAACTGTGAAAAACTTAACAGTCAAATTTTTTATCTTAGATATTGGCATATCCCAACCATCAATACTGTTTTAGGGTGTGATACGCTTAGGAGTAATATGATTTGAACTTAATGCATGTTTAGAGGGTGTCTAAAATTCAGAACCAGGCAGATCCATCTTCTTTGACCTCAAATATGTAATAATCCTAAAGTAAATTGCTTGATGAAATTGGATCCCAAAGATTACATGTGAGGAGTTTTTGAAGTGTGTCCATGTTCCACTGGAGATAAAGAAACTCAGCTAAAAGAATTATGGACTTACTGACATGACAACGGTTGATTGAGCAAAAATTCTTATTGAAAGGACTATCTTGAAGATTACAATTCAAACATTGAGGAACTAAGGTGATGGGCAGTGGAAAGAATCAGAACATATGAAATTCTTTTTTTTAAATTTTATTTATTTAATTTTTTGGTGGGAGGAGGTAATTATTGATTGATATTTAATAGCGGTACTGGGGATTGAACCCTGGATCTCATGCATGCTAGGCGCACACTCTACCACTGAGCTATACCCTCCCCCTAGAACATGTGAAATTCTTAAACAATTTATTGACTTAAGTAATTTTGCCTATGTTACACAATTAAAAAAAAAACCTTTACACTTTTTTGTAGAAAGAAAAGAATTTTCTCACTTTTTAAGACTGAGTATTTCATTTGTATGTATGGTCCACGTTTTGTTTATCCATTGATGGATACGTGGGTTGCTTCCACCTTTTGGCTATTGTAAATAATAGCCGCTAAAAACAGTAGTGGGCAAATTGAGTCCCTGCTTTCAGTTCTTTTGAGTATATACCCAGAAGTGGATTTCTGGATCATATGGTAATTCTTTTAATTTTTTGAGGAAACACTGCACACTGTTTTCCACAGTGGCTGCACTATATTACATTCCCACCATCAACACACAAGTGTTCTTATTTCTCCACATCCTCATCAACACTTTCTGTTTTTTTGATGATAGCCATCCTAATGGGTGTGAAGTAGTACCTCATTGTGGTTTTAATTGGCTTTTCTGCAATGATTAGTGATTAAATTATTTTAAACTTACAGGAAAGTTGAAAAGATACTGTGGCTTCATGTATATCCTTCCAACCTCCCCTAATGTCAAAAACTTACAGAGCCATAGAAACCAGGAAATTAACATTGATATGATACATTAAACAGCTAACTTTATTCACATTCCACCAGTTCCCCTGCTAATTCCTTTTTTCTGATTTGGATTCAGTTCAGGATCCCACGCTGTATTTGCTTGTGTCACCTCCCAATTTGTGACACTTCTCCGGTCTTGTTTTTCATGACCTCGACACTTTGGTAAGAGCTGGTCAGTTATATTTAAGAATGTTTCTCACATATTTGTCTAGTATTTTCTCATAATTAGATTAGGATTATGCATTTTTTTTCCAGGAATACCATGGAAGAAACATTTCTTTCTCAGTGCATCATTGATGTCTCTGTGGCTTTTACTGGTGGTATTAATTTTGGCCACTTGGTTAAGGTGGTTTCTTTTGGTTTTCCCCATGATAAGGTTACTATTTTCCTCTTGTAAGTGATACTCTTCTTGTGTGGAGACACTTTGAGATTATGTATATAGTGTCTATGTTTGCCCACTGATTTTACTTAGTATCCATTGGTGGATCTTGTTTACAACAATTATTTCCATGGTGTTTGCCAGTGGTGATTTTGCATTCTTCAACATTCTTTCTACAATTATTAATTGAAATTGTTTTGTAAGAAAAAATTGTCCCTTCTCTTATATTTATTCTTAATTAGATATGTTCTTGCTCTCTTCACTGAATGATGAGTAAGAGATATTATTCAAGTATGATAGTCAGTTATGACCTTGATCTATATAGGACTGTCCAGACCCTAGAGAGTTTGACAAGGGTGGATGATACTCATGATGGGTCTTTAGTCTCACACCTGTGAAGAGTATGCATTTCACATTGAAAATCTGTCCAACAAATCTCTTGAAATCCAGTGGTCCATTACGTCTCCACTTTCGATATGGAAAAGCCATGATCACAAGGTGCACAAAGGACAAACTGCCTACTTTCAACAGATGTTCAAGGCCAGCAGGAAAGTTACAAAAGTAGGGAAACCCTGAAATGGGAAAAGCCTGGATACAATTGATTTTTAAAAGTCAGTTTGTCAGGGAGGAGGGTATAGCTCAGTGGTAGAGTGTACTTAGCTAGAACGAGGTCCTGGGTTCAAACCCCAGTACCACTACTAAAAAGTAAAATTGATTAATTAGCTAACCTAATTACCTCCCCCACCCCATAAAAGGTTGTGAAGTTGTAAATGGGTCTTTGCCAAGTGCAGATCTGATCTTTGATCATTTCTTGTTCTTTGAAAATTTTAGTCTCACTGGCTCACTCTCTCCAACCTGCCCATATCAAAACTGGTCATTTCCATAACTGCATAGATGATGAGTCTAACAAACTGGTTGCTCATCCCTTGACTCCTCCCCTCCAGTGACCTTATTTGCCACCTTGTCGTGATCCTGTCAAGGCCTTGTCATTTCCAGCTGCCCCTCACCCAGTGATGTCCCCGTTCCCTACTTACCCAGCTTAACGTTGACGCTCAGTCATTATTAATCCCTCCATTCTTGCTTTATCAATCCCCAAACTCAGCGAATGTTGCCTCTTATACTCCAACACCCACGCAGCTGGACTTGGGTGAAAACACTGTCATTCTGATCACTTCAAATTCATGACCACCAACCAACATGGTTTCTTCACATGTTCAGCAGTGACTGTAATCTAGTTGCTCTTCCCTTCTTCCATAAGATGATTTTATGCTTATTTCACACATCATTTATTTGAGCATTCAGTATGTTCTTCCCTCCCGTCAGCAAGGAGACCATCCCTACGATGTGAAAGGGATGGTCTTAGTCTACTCCTGTTTTCTAAGCCTAAGGATTAGTAGTGCTCATTTTCATTCTCAAAAGTGTTCATGTTTGGATGCTAAGATGATAATCACCCTACTCATACCAGATAACCAGATGTTTAGGGAAGGAATTAACGCTTGGGCCTTTTCTCTTTTCTATCTCACTGTTCACTTATGTCATTTTCAAAAATCATAAGACATTAAATAGCACCTATATCCCTAAATTTCAAAGTCAGGTCTCTAATCTAGACCTCTACCCTGATATCTGGAACCCAAATATCCAACTATTTGCACAGCCTCGCATGTTGGTTAAATAGACATCTTAAAATCACTGTGGCCAACTCAAGACTCCTAATCTTCCCCTATCAACCTGTTTCTCTTGAACTTTCCCCATGACGGTCACAATTCCATCCGCCAAAAGTCATAAAGTCTCTTTTGGGGTGGGGGAGGTAATTAGGTTTATTTATTTATTTATATTTAGAGGAAATGCTGGGGGTTGAACCCAGGACCTCATGCTTGCTAAGCATGCACTCTACCACTTGAGCTGTACCCTCCCCATAAAGTCATCTTTTGACTCCTCTCTTTCTCTTACACCTCTCATGCACTGCTAAAAAATCCTATCAAGATTTATCGAGATCTTGACCACTTCACTCTATCTCCACTAATATGACCCCAGCCACCACTGTTATTTTGTACATGAATTATTGCGATGGCCTCCTAACTGAACTTCCTGCTTCAAAACTTGATCTTCTCCACTCATATGAAAGGCTAGGCATCTGGATAGTGTCTCAAATAAATAGATCATCAATAGAGGCAGGTTATAGTTGATTAGGGAACAAAACCTCCCATTTTATATAATCTGCTTAAATATATATTGGGGGACCTTAGAGTCTCAAATAACAGAAAACATGGGCTTCTGTACTGTGTCAGGCAGTAATATTCATGTTTACTGGTCAGCTATTCAGCCCAAGCATGTGGTCCCCTAGCAGACCTCTAAGAGCAGAAAGGAAGACAGGGAGCATGCTATCTACCATATGACTTTTGCTCCTGGTGACAGGCTGATACACATTACTCCCCTTCAGGTTTAAAAGCAGAATTCCCTAATTCAATCTATCACAAAGCTTGCAACCTTCACACTGGGAGAGAAACAAAAATGGGCAAAATGCACCAAACTGGAAGTTGAACTTACATAAATTACACTCAGCTATGAAAATGTGTCTGAACCATTTTTAAAAATTTGAAGTCTAGTCAGTTTACAATGTTGTGTCAATTTTTGATGTACAGTATAATGTTTCAATCATACATGTACACACATATATTCCTTTTCATATTCTTTTTCATTATAGGTTGCTACAAGATATTGAATATCTTCAACTGAATATCTAGTTCCCTGTGCTAAACAGGTTTTATTGCAGGTATCTATTTTATATATAGTAGTTAGTATCTGCAAATCTCAAACTCCCAATTTATGCCTTCCCACCCCTCTCTCCACTGGTAATCTTAAGTTTGTTTTCTTTGTCTGTGAGTCAGTTTTATAATAAGTTCATTTGTGTCATTTTTTTAGATTCCACATATAAATGATGTCATAAGTTATTTTTCTTTCTCTTTCCCTGTCTGACTTCACTTAGTATGATGATCTCTAGGTCCATCCACATTGCTGCAAATGGCATTATTTCATTCTTTTTTATGGCTGAGTAGTAGTCCATTGTATAGTTATACCACAACTTCTTTATCCAGTCATATGAACCATTTTTTAAACTTATAAAGAGCAAAATCAGAATACAAGAGCAAAATATAGAATACAAAAAATAAAAGGAAAATGCAGAAAAACATCTGGAACAGAAAAACATGGCTGGGTGCAAAGACCCTCACGTACACAGGGCTGTAATTGGCATTCTACAGAGGACACTGCCACCGTCATCTCCCGTTTAGGTGATTTGTCACCCTCAGTGATGCCAGCCTCTGGTATTCACATCCTTGTATAATCCCCTCCCACACTGCAGTGGGGTCACCTGTGTGATCAACAGGATGTGGCAGAAGTGGTGACATGTCACTTCTGAGGCAAG